ATAACGGACAAACAATAAGAACAACGATGATTATAATGATAACAAAATATTGATAATAAGGTTTATGCAGGTGGGACGATAAGAATAACAAAGGTAGTAAGTAATATGTGTATATGTAGACAACTTAATAAATAAATTAGGTCAAATCTTAAAAGTTACGTAATACTAAAGGTGAAGTGGACAGGTAATCAGAGTTTAAATAATAAATATCATAAAAGTACGAAGGAGATGGAAAATGCGAAAGAATGGGAGTGTTTTGAATAGGATTCACTGAGGCAAGCAAGTGAGAGACAAAGGTAGACTAGACTTCTTTTGTATACAAAGACTAGGATTGTTCTCTCGAATTAATTCCCATATCAGCTTCGGCTATGTGTAAAAGACGAGTTCGAATTCCGTTCGAAAGACTTGATGGAATGCGGTAAATAACTTTGAAGGCGGCACTATTTTTGTCCACTTGGTGACCACTATCATCAATCAAATGAGCCAAAATAGAACTTCGTATGGATTTTATTTGACCTTTTCCGAACCATGAAGGAAGATGCTCATTAATGCGTTTGTTAAGCTGTCTAGTTGTTCGCCCTACATAGCTCTCTCCACAGGGGCAACTAAATTTATAGATACACATAGAAGTGGTACGGTTAGGTAGCTTGTCTTTCACTTGAGCAATCATAATTGGTCGGCAGCTGGAAAATGACAAACAAAGGGTGGCGGCAGTATAAGTCCGCTCGTTTTATTGCGCTCGATAATCTCAGATGTAAGACTTCGCTAGCCACGTCCCCATTATATTGCAGTTTCATGAACAGCTGTTTCTTTTTAACTGTTGTCGGTTTTTCTTTACTGTACTTGGTATTCATGTGTTTCCTTACAAATCTACTAGGATAACCTAGTTGTACCAGCGTATATTGGATGTATCCTTACTCACTTTGTAGGCAGTCATCTGTACAGATACGTCTTATACTGTTAATCAAAGGTGTTTAATTTCGTTTCATAACGACAATAACTCAGATTTTTCTCAGTCAAAAGATTATTTTGATTGAATTTTTATATTTTTACTAGTGATTTCTATAAATAATTCAGGTAAATTACATTGAGATTTTCTATTGAGGTGGTGGAACATGATGTCATGATATCATCTCGCTATATTTGTCTTCTAAATGCTTCATAAAGGTATTTTTTTTATAGTTTTGGTTTGTAAGGGTTAGTTATGTTTTTACAAGTTGATCAAGGATTGATATCAGTTAGAGAACCATTGAAAACCCACCAGGGAGTACTGGACAGCTGTTTCATCCTAGTTTGGGAATCATCATCAGAGCTCACCTACTAGGATTTGAACACAGGACCTTCCGGTTACAAGGCAAGCTCGTATACCAGATAAAATTCATGGGCCAATGAATATGGACTCAGTGGCTGAATGTTATACGAGCTTGCCTTGTAACCGTAAGGTCCTGTGTTCGAATCCTAATGGGTGAGTTCTGATGATGATTCCCAAACTAGGATGAAACAGCAGCTGTCCAGTACTCCCTGGTGGGTTTTCAATGGTTCTCTAACTGATATCAATCCTTGATCAACTTGTAAAAACATAAATATATTCTTGAAAAATAACAATCACTATTTGGAAATCATCTACCAACCTTAGAACTTTAACATCTAACCTCAGACACTTTGAATTTATTGATATTTTCATTAAGAATATTATTTACCAAGCCTTGTGAAGGCAGCTTATTCATTAAATGATAAAGCCCAGAGATTAAACAACGTCCATCTCACTCACAAATTTAGAATCTTTTCAGTTGTTTTTAGAAACAAACGCTTACAATAGTGCCATCATTAAGGTCTCCTAGATACGGGTTATCAAGTGGAGGACATCGCAAAACCCTTTAAAATTATCAATAGACAGAAAAGCTGAAATCTCCTCAAGTTGGCCGGAGCAGTCTCTATCAAACACCTGTATTCAGAAAGAAGCAGTTATCAGTCAGTCTTTCCTTGCCCATCCTGGTAACCGAGTGTCTTTATTCTCTACTTTATTTGATTACGTAATCTTTGGCTTTAACCTTTTTTCACCCTCCTTCGATGTGGTGAAATTTTACTTGTCTAAGATTTGAGTTGTACTCATTACAGTGTTACTTAATTTATTAGTTACTCATCGGTTCATCGGTTCCAATCAGGAACCGATTGTGAAACAAATAGGCAGGAAGAAATGGAGATGGATTGGCCATACTCTGAGGAAACCATCAAGTGAGTGACATCGCTAGACAAGCCATAACTCGAGTGGAACCCGTAAGGGAGGCGGCGAGTTGGTCGTCAGTGCAAGGGTGACTTGGAGGAGGAGGTCATGCGAGGAGGAGATGAAAGCATGCTAAAAGACTTGGAGCGGGGTGAAAAAGTTGACAGAAAACAGAAGGCAATGGCGATGCGCAGCTGAAGCCCTATGTTCCTCTAGGGATTAAAGGATATAATAATAATAACATCGTCTTACGCATCTCTTGTGTCAATTACATAACTCTTTAGCCATTTTATGCATACATTTATTTTCTTTAAACTTGAACCGCCTGTGAGTACTGTTCACCAAGTCCAGAATCCCCTATCCGCAGATATCATGTAAAATTTGCAAGTGTGTTAAAACTTCTCTGTACATAGACTTAATAATAGTTTATTTAGGCTGTAAGCAGTAGCTGATGAGAAGCCAAAGAAATAAGCGCAGGATGGTACCATCTTATTCTGTAAAAAATAATGTTGTTCTTGCTTTATTCAGGGACACCTTTTCCTGAAAGTGAACATGTAACGGTAAAAGACAAGAGACTTGCTAATGGAATGTTGATTTGGGATTTGATATCTCTATATAGAGAAATTATGTACTGCTTATATGTGAAAATCATCATTAATTTCACAGATCTTCCGTGTTGTGTTTCTTCTGCCCTTCTCTCATTGTGCTTCGTTGTCTTCTTCCCGTGTCTTCCATGTTTTGCTACAAAACTCTGAATCATTTGCCCTCTTTGACGTCAAATCTCTCCACCTCTCTGCTATTTGATATATATATATATATATATATATATATATATATATATATATATATATATATATACATATATTTGTGTGCGAATGAACGGCTCTTTATGTACTTACTACTGATAAATCCAGTTAGTAGTACACGCCAAGGACACACTAACCTTAAATCCCTCCAAATGCCAAACAGTAAATTTCACCTTTAGGCATAAATCTCACCTAAACAAACTGGTAGTTAGCACTCATGAGGTGTGCAACAAAGATGGCACTGAAACAGAAACCATGTCGGAAATTAAATACCTAGGCGTCATTCGATCTCCTGATCTTCCCTCATTTGTCGTCTCATATCTTGATGATTTCTAAGAAAATATTCCGTCTCACCTTCTACATCAAGAAGTTAAGACATTCTGGAATAACCCAACCCCTACTCCTTCGATATGCTAACTCTCGCATTCTACCTATTATTCTCCATTGTTCCCCCTGGGGTTTTTCCAGGGCTGGCTACTGAAGAAAGACTATACCTTATTACGCTGGATGTTAAAGGTTGTCGGCAGGGTAAACCACAGGGTGCCACTTAACCAACCAGGTTGTTAATATTCTGGTTGACAGGCACATGGACTCATGTGAAAAATGGGCGAAATCCATTATATCTACCTAACTCACACCGCCACCCTCTTCATTCACAACTCTCCTCTTGTATCTCATCAGGTCAGACCAGACCAGAAGGCAATATAGAAAACCATATGCTCGCACTAGCAAGTACAGAAACTGAGCCACACCCTACTTACCTCGTGTTCTGGCCGATGAAGAAAGCATTAGGTGTGAAACTTATGACTTATTAAGTAGTTAGTAGAACAAGTGGATCTCGTCTTTCCAACTCATGTCATTTATAGGTACAACGTTTTTTCCTTCTTTCCTTTCCTTTTCTCTCTCTCTTTTTCTCTGTTATGTGCAGCTTTGTTTCTTTCTTCCTTACAAACTCTATTTAAAACATTCTTCTTCGTTCTTTCACACTCTGTATATCTCGAACTTTTTGTTACCTCTTACATCAGTAAATATTCTGGCGTCTACTTTTCAAACACCTTCAAACACTTCTGTCCAATTTTGGCTTTGCTACGGACATGCCAATATGCTGTTGTCAAAACTAACTGAGATTAACCTTAATCTATGTAGAATTTTATTTATTGTTAATGTGAAAACTGGATGCAGTACTGTATGTAGTGAAATGCTGAGAATTCCATTCTGTATCACAAGTAGTGTTTTGGAATAAAGCAAATTATTCTTATTATTATTTATTTTAGATACATAATAAAACTGAGACTGTGATTAGACACTAGTGAGTTTTTCCGATGTGTCTAGTCGGAGGCACAGTGGTTAGGACTCCCACTGACCATGCACATGGTCCGGTGTTCGATCCCCTGCCGACGCACACCCAATATCTATGGTCGGCCTGAAAAATTTAGGCTACCTGTATCACATGCTGAAAATTCCATACTTATACCGAAAATACGGTGTGGCATCAAACTGTAATCAAAATAAAATAAATTCTATCAATCAGGTTTACAAACTGGCCATCATTCTAGGTAGCTCGGTGCACATTGATTTAATGATTAGATTAGAGACTTCATCATAGTAGACAGGAACTGAAGATTTAAAAACATATAACACTATTTTTGGGAGGTCATTCATTCAAATCAGTGACACTTCTCTTTAATAGGTGCATCCATGATTAGCAATGCAGCCTTTTTTCAATTCACCAATAGCATTTGCTTTACAAAAAATTCAAACTATCCTGTCAACATCCAATTGTCACCACACCCAAACCTCTTTTTTGTTTAACTTCGAACTGAATTTAATAATATAAAAAGAGCATTACTTTCATATTTTTGGGTTTAGTATAAATTATTATTATTATTATTACTTAAATGGCAAAGTTCACATATGTGACATTTTTATTGATTTTCTGCATTTTATCCATCACATGTGTCGTTTCTGAAATGCTATTATTTGCAGAACATGCAAATTATCGAAGATCTTTACAAAACTGTGAAGTTCCAAATCAACCTAGACCAAGATTTATGGAAGAGATTGTAAGTTGAAGACGTCTAAAATTTCACGATTTAAATTTTCCGCTCAGTTTTATATGATGATATTGTGCATGAATGCTACTCTTTATTGGTTACAGGATTTCACCATGAGCTGACACTGGTAAGAGAACCATTGGAAAGCCCACCAGGGAGTGCTGGACAGCTGTTTCGTCAGACTAGTTTGGGACTCTTCAGAGTGCACACCCACTACTACGCAAGGGTTCGAACCCAGGACCTTCTGGTTACAAGTCAAGGTGAGCTCATAGACCGTTAAGGCACTGGGACCCGATTCAATGGCCAGTCAATGCATGAATTCCGCCTTCTGCCAATTGAAGACACAGCCCGACCACTAGCCAATGTCTTTAGCAAGAATTCGTCCCCACGCTCAACCTGCTGTACCCTTTCAGTTATGACTTCCCACTAGAACCCCAGGTAACTACCTACCTACCTTAATAGGGTCAGTCGCTAGTGAGTAACTCACTTACAATCAATTATTGGTTTGTAAGGGTTTTTGATTGATTGGTTCCAGGATTTCATCAACTTATATTCGATTCAATAGTTCAATGTACCAGTATATTAATGAGTGATATCGTTCCTACAATGAAAGGAACTAATCAATGCATGTTTTGAAGAATATAAACATGTCTAAACATTAGCTTAGTGAATTTATGACAGTGATTTCTTATAATTGATAAGGAATTATGATTTATTTGTTAATTCACTACACTACCTGTTATCTTCCTGTCTATATCCTCCTAAGTATGACAGACTTTGATCAATATATCAAGTGAATTTGAATTTATGTGTAAAACTTGGGCATTGTGGTAGTGAGTAATTCCATATTAGTTTGTTTTTTAGATGTGTCAGACACACAGTGTAACAGTATTTTTTTACTGAATGACGACAATTTTCGAACATTATTGTTCATAATCATAACATCAGTTATAATCACACGACTTCGAAACTTGAATTTTATAGTCTTCGTTGTTCTCTCCTATTTGTCGTCGTAGGGGTAGAAGAATTTTCCAGATGTCTAGGTGGACAGGTGTTGAATCATTCCTATTACACGTGTTGATTTGCAGCCGATTCGATAAACAAAGCTTCTGTTATCAATCTCTCCCTCCATTCACCCTGTGACATTAGATTTTAAAACTGTCGTCTTATCCCATCCAGCCTATTGTATAGTTGGGTGTGTGTAATTGCATGTAGTGAGTCGTGTAGCTGGGCTATTCTCTAGATTTCTTATATTATTCGGGTTAGCCAATCTAGATTTTGCTAGCAAAATACATACCATACATACAAAATATATTACCACAGTGCCCAAGTTTTACACATATATTAAAATATACATTGGTTGACCTGAATAATATTATTATTATTTTTTTATTAGATTTTTTTATTAGATTTACAGCTTGATTCCACACTGTATTTTTGGTACAAGTATGGAATTTTCAGCATGGATATCGGTAGCCCAAATTTCGCAGGCCGACCATAGATATCAGGTGTGCGCCGGCGTGGGCTCGAACCCCGGACTATGTGCATGGTCGGCGAGAATCCTAACCACTGTGCCACCGACGCAAGAAATCAAGAGAATAGTTCAGCCATAGCATTACATGCAATCATACACAACCAACCATACAATAGGATGGATGGGATAGGATGACAGTTTTAAAATCTAATGTCACAGGGTGAATGGAGGGAGAGATTGATAACAGAAGCTTTGTTTATCGAATCGGCTGCAAATCAACATGTGTAGTAGGAATGATTCAACACCTGTTCAGCCAGACATCTGAAAAATTCTTCTACCCCTACGACGACAAATAGGAGAGAACAACGAAGACTATAAAATTCAAGTTTCGAAGTCGTGTGATCATAATCGATGTTATGATTTTGAACAATAATAATAATTGTGTTCGAAAGACGTCGTCATCCAGTATACAATACTGTTTCACTGTTTGTGATACATCTAATAAACAAACTAATATGAAGTTCTGAGACTTTGTTTTGGTGTGTGTGTATATATACGGACAGTCTTCAGCGCCATTTTGTGCTTTTCCCTTTTTGTAATGACAAAACAAACATTCTTTGATCTTGTAATATAGCCATATTGGTTAGATAAGTTCTAGACATTTTTTCTTGGATACTCTTTATCTTTTATTTGATTCAAGTTTACTGCTAACAAAAGCACATTCCCTTGATAAGTAAGTCTTTTTAATTTGTGTTTGAGTACTGAATTATTGGATAAATAGGCAAATTACGTTAACCGAAGTTTGGTGAAAACGTATAAAGACGTCAAAGTCAGCCAGCCAGCCAGCGAGAATCGGAAAGGCGAAATACCCCTTCATCAACCTTGAAAGCAGTTTGAAAATCATCTACACTCAGCCAGCAATTTCAACACAAATGTGATGTCAATCAATCAGTCAGCTGTTCTATACGGGTCAGAAACTTGGCCAGCGTGTCGTGACAACGATTTTAAACAGGTTACAGACTTCTGTCCACCGCCACCTTCGCTGGCTCCATACTGAAGATCATCCCCGTTTCTAAAGCTTATGAGAAAACTAGTACTTCTTAAACTCGAACCCTCCCTTAAAAGCTTTGAAGACCCAAAACAATTTGCCGACAGACAGGGTAGGAGTACTTTAGACTCTGCAGACGCCTCACACAACAGTATCGTCTCATCATTAGTCAAAGGTGCAAAATATGTCCGCTGCACGTTTCTTGACTTCACTTCTGCTTTCGACTCTGTACCTAGATGTCTCTTGTTAAATAAGGTCTCCATGACACAAACTGAATCCTGGGTCACCAACTGGTTGCATTCCTACTTTTCAAATAGAATGCAGTATACCGTATACAAAGGCAAATCCTCCTATGCTGTGCTCACTGAAGCTGGTGTCCCCCAAGGTGCTGTACTTTCCCAACTTCTCTTTTCTTTCTTTCTACATGACCTACCATCTTCAGATGGCATTAATTTTGTCAAATATGCTGATGACCTAACTGTATCTTTGCCTTTCAAAAATGTCAAAGTGACTGCACTAAACTAAACGGCTTTTTATGAGAAGTCAGCCAATGGTCCAAGGAAAATGGTCTTACCTTAAACCTCTCCAAATGCCAAACAGTTAATTTCACCTTTAGGCATAAATCTGACCTAAACAAACTGTTTAGCACTCACGAGGTCTGCAACATAGATGGCACTGAAATTGAAACCAAGTCTGAAATTAAATACCTAGGCGTCATTCTATCTTCTGATCTTTCCTGGTCGTCTCATATCTTGATGATTTCTAAGAAAATATTCCGTCTTACTTTCTACATCAAGAAGTTAAGACATTCTGGTATAACCCAACCCTTACTCCTACAATTCGTTAACTCCCGTATTCTGCTTATTATTCTCTATTGTTCCCCGTTAGTTCTTCCTGGGCTACTGAAGAAAGACTATACCTTATTACGCAGGATGTTACAGGTTGTCAACAGGGTAAGCAACGTGCCACTTAACCAGCTTGTTAATATTTTGGTTGGCAGGCACATGGACTCATGTGAAAAATGGGCGAAATCCATTATATCTACCTAACTCACACCGCCACCCTTTTCATTCACAACTCTCCTCTTGTATCTCATCAGGTCAGACCAGACCAGAAGCCAATATAGAAAACCATATGCTCGCACTAGCAAGTACAGAAACTGAGCCACACCCTACTTACCTCGTGTTCTGGGCGATGAAGAAAGCATTAGGTGTGATGAAACTTATGACTTATTAAGTAGTCAGTAGAACAAGTGGATCTCGTCTTTCCAACTCATATCATTTATAGGTACAACGTTTTCTTTCTTTCCTTTCCTTTTCTCTCTCTCTTTTTCTTTGTTATGTGCAGCTTTGTTTCTTTCTTCTGCTTGCGCCAGTAAATATAGTAGAACCTACTTTTCAAACACCTTGAAACACTTTGTTTAATTTTGGCTTGCTACGGACATGCCAATATGTTGTTGTCAAAACTAACTGAGATTAACCTTAATCTATGTAGAATTTTATTTATTGTTAATGTGAAAACTGGATGCAATACTGTATGTAGTGAAATGCTGAGAATTCCATTCTGTATCACAAGTAGTGTTTTGGAATGAAGCTATTATCATTATCATTATTATTATTATCAAATTATCAGCCGGCCAGAAAGAATTTGCAACAAGCCGATTTATCAATAAATATGTGCGAGAAAATGGTGATACACCAGGCATAGATTGAGGAGACCGTCGGATGACATCGCGCTCATTCTAGGCCATCGTTCGAGTGGAATCCAAATGTGAAACGACGATTGGGTCGTCAGTGTGAGAGTGACACGGAGAAGATCGTGTGTTAAAGAGGAGGAGGAGGTCGAGGAATAGCGGATGAGGGATTCTGGACAGTCGTGGGCGCAGCTGAAGAGGACAGCATAGAATAGAAGAAAGTGTTGCTGAAGCCAGCCCTATGTTTCATTCAGAACCCAAGGGAGTAATAATAATAATAATGATAAGTCTGGTAAATTATAGCTTAGATATGATAGAGAAGATTTGTAGCTCAGGTGGATGATTTTGATGTGTTTGTGTTCTCTGAGCAGCTGGATAGCTGATTTGCGAAGCTTTCACCATCCTACTGGGTGAAATCTTCAGCGCACACTTCAATTTCACGAAGTGAGCTTTTAGATTTCTCCACGAGTTCACTAATCATCTCTCCTGGTCACCTTCAACGTCGTGATTGGTTATTTTTGTGTGTTTTCACACCTTCTAGTCTACAAGGTGTATTGGAACTGATAGTTTCTTTGACTTCAGTCTACCTATCTAACCAAAAGCCCCCAAGGATAGCACAAAGAAAATCGCCTTACCATATATAAAGGATATCTCAGAAATCACTAGAAGACTCTTCAAACCTTTAGGAATTGACGTCGTACACAAACCAACAAAGTCACTTCACTCAATTTTATGTCAACCAAAAGACTCAACAGCGAAAGAAGATAAAACCAACATCATCTACAAAATAAATTGTAACAACTGCGAAAAGCACTACATTGACCAAAGTGGACGTCCCCTTCGTCTTCGTATCCACGATCATAAGTTAGCCGTCAAAAGACATGATATCCACACTTTCATATCAATACATACGGACATTCATGGACATCAATTCGACTGGGACAACCAGCGTTAAAATATTAGACAGAGGAAACAACAAGAATGCTAGAGAATTTTCGGAAGCTTGGCATTCCAGGGAATCATCAATCAACAGACATACTGAGATAGACAAAATTTATCAACCGATAAGAAAGAAACTTCACACACACACACAAAGGGTCAAAATTCAAGTCAAAGAAACAATAAGTTTCAATACACCTTGTAGACTAGAAGGTGTGAAAACACACAAATACAACTAATCACGACGTTGAAGGTGACCAAGAGAGATGACTCATAAACTCGTGGAGAAATCTAAAATCTCACTTCCTCGAATTGAAGTAAACGCTGAAGATGTTGCCTAGTGGTGGATTGATGAAAGCTTTGCAAATAAACCATCCAGCTGGCTAGCTCAGAGAATACAACTACATAAAAAAGTATAGCTTATCAACAATGCCTTACAACTCTTCCTTTGTTCTGTACAATCAAAAACTATTTTACTGTCATAAATTATATTGAATAGTGAACATATTTTGATGCTTCTTTTTTTGAATAGAATTGGGATGATGAGTTAGCACAGTTGGCTCATAGACAAGTAGCAGCATGCGATTTAGACAGTCATTACAAAGAAGCAGAAATCAATAAAGAATATAAATCTTCTGTTGGCAAAAATACTGCAGACAATCGTGATCCTTACGCGTAATTTTAATCAATAATTGTAATTAAATGTAATTCATTATTTTTTTATGCACTATATAGAGCAGTAAGAGAGTGGTTTGACGAACATCAATACTACAATTACACAAGAAATTCATGCAGCCATCCTAATGGCTGTTCACATTATAAAAGGGTGAGTTAAATCTCTGAGAATGACTCATTTTTTCTATGATTATTTTTCTTTAAATGTTTGTTATTTCTTGTTTATATTTCTTTTGACTGAATTGAACTTGTCTACCTGACGCTGTCTCAAAGCCCAACCGGTGAAGTGCCAAGATAGTAGTAATGTATTATTATTATTGTATCCTTTAATTCCTAGAGGAACATAGGGCTTCAGCCATGCGTCTCCATTGCATTCGATTCTCTGCTAGAGTTTTCACCACCTAGCTCCAAGTCTGCTACCCACATGCTTTCATCTCCTCTTAATGGAATATCGATCGATATACACATAGCAAAATATAATAAACTGTCAAAAACAAAACACACATGTGGATACATATCACCTCCCCTTTTGAGAAGATTGATGATTAGTAGCGTGTTTTCGTCGAGAAATGCCTAAGGGAAAATGGATACCCTTAGGGATTTATTCAGAAGTACAGCAGAGAAAAAGATGAGAAAGAAAAGCATCCAACTGTAGAAAAGAAAAAAAGTGTTTATCTGTCTACCATACAAAGGAGATGCAGTGTCACAAAAGATTGACAAAAGAGTGAAAGGTGCAATAAATAGAAGCTTCCCAGCAGCAAAACTCATAACAGTATACAGCACCACTCCTTCTTTAATCCACTCAAAACTGGATAAATACCCTGCTGATGTCACCTCCAACTGCGTTTATGAATTCACGTGCACTTGCGGGAGCAAGTACATTGGAAGGACAGAAAGAAGGGCTTCTATCCGGTTTTCTGAATATATTCCCAAAAACCTGTGCCTGAAAGGAAGCAGATATTCCCAGAGTGCAATTACCAGACACATTATTGATACCGGACATCTCGTAGAGATTTCTGAGTCCTTCAAAATATTAAATAGACAAAGGACAGCAAATTTACTACGATTTGCCGAAGCAATCGCAATCAAAAGACTTAAACCAGACTTATGCATACAGAAAGAGAGTGTGATTAACCTCTCACTCCCTTGGTAACAGAATTTTGATTTTGATTAGTCTTTTAATTCAGTGATCTCAACTCACTGAACAAATCTTAATCTCATAAACTGTGAACACTTTTGTTTCTTGAGTTGCTATGTGAACCTAAAAGCTAACACTGTTCTGTTAATCAATTTTTTCTGTTTTCTCTCTTACCCCTCCCCTTCTTTTCAACTTTAAAAGCGTATAAATTGATGGTGAAAACTTAAACTAAAAACATTGTAATGCTTTCATTTAGATGCGTCAATTTTATAGTATCTCTTTTCTACCACCACTCGAACATTAAAGTATGTTATTATCATCTATATAACCATTGTAATTTCAGGTAGTCTGCAGCTGATGAGAACCTGTGAAATAGAATGATATCATTTTATACTGCAAATTTCGTCTTCCTTTCTTTATCGAAATTTATCAAGGGAACCAAATGTATGAAATTCCTGTGAATTTGGTATTGCGCAAGGAAACAGAACATTTGAGTTCACCAATTAGTTTGAGCCGCGCACCACAGGCGCTGACAAGAGTCTGGGAAGTATTTGTGACAGGTGGTCTGCCAATATCATTCCAAAGTTTCTCTGATATAACAGTAATATCAGAGGCGGTATCTAGCTGCAGACGTGTATCATGATCATTCACCTGAAGATCAAGATGTTTCCGCATACCTGGTGTTGTGACTAGACAGGTTGCGAGTAGACTCATTGACTAGTGATTTCACTTGATTGATGGTTTCCTCAGAGTATGGCCAATTCACCTAATTTCATTTCTCCTAACCTATTTGTTTCACAATCGGTTCCTGTTGGGTTGGTTCGCTCATTGCCAGAGATCCCTGTTGCTGATCATTTCTGGCTGGCCATCTGATCTCGAGTAGTATTGAACGAAGACAACTGTTAACGAAGGTCTTTAGTTTGTTTGAGATGCTTTTTATGACGCGCAGTGCAAGTCTCTGATCCGTATAGTAGTAGATAGTAATGTAGAAGTGGCTAATTCGATTATTTTGCTACAACCTTTAATTTCATTTTACCTACAATCGTCACTTATTAAATCACTAAGATTTTTAGATCGTGGAAAACACCCATATGGATATTAGAAAGAAGAGAACATGAAGTTCAACAAAGATATCATCTGCCTTTTCGGCAATTTTATTTTCAAAAGCAGCTGGCTGTACAATCGCATTTAAATACATAATACATTCACATGGATACAAACAATTCTTGTGTGATTCCACCATATAATTACGATGGCGAATAAAAGGTGATAATTATTTTCAACTAGATATGATTCTTACGAGGAGAGGCTTAGAAATAAAAATTACACAGGATTAAGAACGGATATCAAGTGTATAAAAATGAGCATGGAAACAAAATTGAAATATTAATAATATTCAACTTGAGATGGGAGTTAGGAGGTGCGAATATTGTAATTTTGTTTCCAAGACTCTTGTAATCTATATTCCCATCTCAAGTTGAAAATTGTTATTTCAATTTTGTTTCCATGCTCATTTTTATACACTTGATATTTGTTCTTAATCCTGTGTAATTTTGTTTCTAAGCCTCTCGTAAAAAAACCATATCTAGTTGAAAATAATTATCACCTTTTATTCGCCATCGTAATTATGTGGTGGAATCACACAAGAATTGTTTGTATCCATGTGAATGTATTATGTATTTAAATGCGATTGTACAGCCAGCTGCTTTTGAAAATAAAATTGCCGAAAAGGCAGATGATATCTTTGTTGAACTTCATGTTATCTTCTCACTAATATTTTGTCCCCTTAAGAATAATTCCATATTAGCATTCAACTCAGCAAGCTTGACAGACAAACGTAGAAACTTGTTCAATCCCTTTACCCTCAAGCGGTGCTTGCTTCTCTTCAAATCACGGAATGTACACATTAGATCATAGGAATTATTAAAAAGACGTTTGAAGAGAAGAAAATTTTCTTTTCGACGAAATCATCAACTAGGTGGCTGTACATTCGTGTATTTATAACAGATGGATGGGAAAGTTCCAGAATAATTTCCGGTTAAGGGTCAAATTATAAAAATTACAATTAGGAGTTAAAATGCCATAATAAACAGCGTGCATATACCAGTTTACTTGCTCTTGTAGAGCTGAGTACATTGGCCGTACCATGCGCCAACTTGAAGAAAAAAACGCGCTCGTGAACACTATCCAGTCTGGCTAGCAAAGGGAGAACGAAAACGGGTATATAGTTCAGTGACAGGATATCTAGTCAATTCACGACATTCAGAGCTATTCGAAAAATCCTTCAAAATAATATACAAGATTCGATCACATCTATCAATGGGAGTGAAATTAAGACATCTGGGCATAGTCGAGGCACTAGCTATCCAAAAGTTAGAACCCACGCTTTGTATCCAAAAGAAATACATCCAACCCTTTTCCCTGCCATGGCCATTATAAACAGGTAATTTTTGTAATAATAACCATCCCATCGCTTTTCTTATCCAAACTTCCTGTTTATTTTGTCATTTTATTATTTCTACATATTTTATCCCTAACTGCATAAACAATTATCCGTCACATTAGTTATGATCCCACTAGATTTTCTTATCCAAATATCCTGTCTATCTTTTTTATTTCTACATTTCTAACCCCCGATTGCACAATATGTCAATCTTCTCAGTAATTATGGTGCTACTTTGTTTGAGTTTTATCCATCCCCCTGTTTATTATTATGGTATTTTAATTCCTAATTGTAATTTTATGAATTTGACACTTAACCATAAATTATTCTGGAACTTTCCCATCCATTTGTTATAAATACACGACTGTACAGTCTTTTTAATCATTTCTATGGTCCAATGTGTAAATTCCATGTTATGTAAGTTTATTTTAATCATCACACAGTGACGATGCAGTATTAACAACTGGATGACAAGGCTTCGGGCATAAATTATTGTCACTTATAATCATATCAATTTAGTCACACGTTTTCACAGTTAGTCTGATATATATATATATATCTTCTCTTTCTGTCCTTCCAACTTCCCGTTGTTCGTTGTCACTTTACATATCTCGGGTATAGACGACGCTCCTTCATTTGGATTGCTTGTATGCGGTGTTGAGTCGATAAACAAAGATTCAGTAATTAACCATTCCCCGCCTCCACCTTGCTATATTACTTTTTAATACTTTCACCCTGTCCCACCCTGTTGTGATCACATGCAGGTGAATGGCATGCAGCGACTGAGCTATTTTCTAATTTATTTAACTTAAGACGGACAATCGCTCTAAGTCTAGCTAAATTTTTACGTTCTAATAATCCAGTTGACGTTGATCCACTTGTATGACTGACTTATGCAATTGAATTGACCTCACTAACAGTCATTACATTATTATTATTATTTCCTTTAATTCCTAGAGGAACATAGGGCTTCAGCCGCGCGTCTCTATTGCGTTCGGTTTTCTGCCAACATTTTCACCCCTCTCCAAGTCTGCCCACATGCTTCCATTTCCTCTTCACATGACCTCCTCCAAGTCACCCCACCCTCGCGCTGACGACCAACTCGCCGCCACCCTTTCGGGTTCCACTCGAGCGATGGCTTGTCTAGTGATGTCACTTGATTGATGGTTTCCTCAGAGTATGGCCAATCCACCTAACTCCATTTCTCCCAGCCTATTTGCTTCACAATCGGTTCCTGTTGGGTTGGTTCGCTCATTGCCAGAGATCCCTGTTGCTGATCATTTCTGGCTGGCCATCTGATCTCGAGTAGTATTGAACGAAGACAACTGTTAACGAAGGTCTTTAGTTTGTTTGAGATGCTCTTTATGACGCCCTGGGCAAGTCTCTGACTGACTTCACATTCGAGTTGAAAATATGGATCTTATATTTGATGCTGAGTGGGCTGTTGACCTTCACACAGACCAGAGAGTAATGAAAGCTTGTCTTGCTTTTCCGATTCTTACATGATATTAAGTTAATCTTATTATTGTTTTTCTTATTTGGATCTGTCGGAAGGAGCCTCAAGGCGACAAAGTTTATCTCAGAGAGAGTCAGTTGGTTGGTTGATTGGTTGGTTAAAATACCACCCTAATTCCGGCTTCGTTGATAATCCTAAGTAAGGCCTCTGACGTTCCTTGTTTATACGGCAGTGCTACAGAGGCCTTGAATTTTTATATTGTTCTTGTTATTTTTGTCATTTTCATTACTAATTTTATTCTTCTTATGGTTCTTCAAATATATATAGCCTTTAGTGGCTAATTTTTGTCAAAGTTAATGGATTTATAATTTTACAGCCTGAGGAAGAATTTAGTGAAAACAGCTAATGTTCGCTCAAACTATAGTTGTTCTGAATCAATTATAGGGATATTCAAATATTAGATGGTTGAAGGCAATCGGCCACAGGAAGCCTTGCTTGACCTAGTTTACGTGCTAGTTGGCACTCACACCAGTCAGCAAGGCGTATCTCTACAACTACCTTGAAGGAACACTCATGTTCCTCCTTCTGAGATTCGAACCCATACCCCCCCCAGTAAGTACAGCGGTCAGAGACGTTTCCATTGAGCAGCTATTCGGGCTCGCGATTGACTTTCTGTAGGATTGTAGTGGATACTTTGATTGGACTTATGGAAAATTCCCATTGTAATATATAGAAAATTAAAACAGGTGATTCAGCGAAGAGATTCTTTTCAACGAATTTATCATCAAGCTGTACAATCGTATATATATGGGTTCTTTTTAAGAAGTTATATCCGGTGAGGGAATTGAATCATAGGTGTGAATGCATAAAATAATAATAATAGTAGTATGAAATGCAATTAAAAAACTAAAATGCTTGTGATTATAATCATAGTTAAATGTCAAGTGGCAAAATAAATGAATGTCATTTATGGAAAAATTCATAGGATAGATAGAACTTGAAAAATGGTGTGCAATTATAGGATTAGTAGACTAATCGAATAAAACAAAAAACGTTACGTAATATTGTGTGAAATTTGATAGCATAGAATTTAACGTTGTAAAAAAGAATTGATTCAGAATGACAAGTGGAATATGTGAAATAATACCAGGGACAGTTCAAAGTGAGGGTATTAATAGTAAAAATTGACGTAATAAGGAAGAGACTACAAAATGAATAGACAAAATGAAGAGCTAAAATATGATTGGGGATTAGATTACCATACTTTAGCATAGAGGGATTAAGACCATGCAATTTGGAGGGGTTGAACGAAATTTTTCTGTACACAGAGATCTGGGTTTTCTGTTTCGATAGCCAAAGCTTCAGCGTGTCTAGTCCTTTCTTTGGTGCAGACTAAATTCTATCAGTCAGGCTTGCAAATGTGTCCACCATGCTACTAAGTAGTTCGCTATCAATGGTGCACATTGATTTGATGATATTCAAATTTTAACATTGCCTTTTAATATGATTATGGTCAACAGACTATATTCTATGTGTAAGGTAATTTCACAGTTTAGATAATATATATATTTCTCTGATTCAATTTTTTTTATTTTAATAATCACAGATCGTATGGGGAAGAGCTGAATTCATGGGTTGTGCAGTTGGCGGATGTGGACCGGGTACACGCGTACGATCAGGTCAAATAGTAGTCTGTTATTATTCACCTATGTAAGTTTAGGTTACTTCAGTCAGTTTTTCTTTATTGTTTTACTGCATTACTTTCAATATTTATTTATTTTTAAAAGGTGAAAGGAATTGTTATATATTTTAAATTAATTTTAAAGTTTATTATTTATTTGTCTATGATAATAAATTAAATCAACTTCATTTTCTAATATTTTAATCATTCTGCTATATCTATGAACTGTAATCACTACTCATCACAGCACTTTCTAGTAGTTTTTAACTTATTCATTTACATTTTTTCAAGGATGTGGTAAGAAGAAATGCTCGGACAGTGGATCGTACCTTAGACAAAGTAGTACCTCATTAAATAAAAGAAGTTAGAATTCATGGGTAATTGAATGGTTAAGTGATCAACGAGCTTAGACTCATAACCTGAAAGTCCTGGGCTCGATCTGTGGTGTTGGGATGGGCTGGATTAGCTGCATGCTATTCAGGAGTTCCTAATTAGGAAGAAAAATTGGTTCAATAGTGTTCCCTGCTTTTCAATCGTTCTCTAGCTGACATCAGTTCGTCATCAAACTTGAAACAAAATCAAATCCTTACAAATTAATTCTTGACCTTGAATAAAACAAGGTCAACAGTGTGGTTTGTATAGAATAATATGGTATCATCCTGCGTTTATTTCATCGGCTTATCATCAGCTTCTGCTTACAGCCTAAATAAATTATTACGTTTATGTAGAGAGAAGTTTTAACATAATTGCAAATTATACATGATATCAGTGGATAACAGGTTCTGGACTTCGTGAACATTGCTCAGAAAATTAAGCTTATATAGTTTTCTCACAGGCAGTTCAAGTTTAAACAAAGTAGATACGTATGCCTACAATGATAAATGAGTTACGTAATAGAGACGAGAGATGTGTAAGATGATGAGCAACCAACAAGTTGGGTAACACTCAAGTGATTCCAACTTGAATCACTCTATCAAAAGGGGTGAGGCTTAAGCCAAAGATCACGTAATCAAATGGAAGAGAGAATAAAGACACCCAGTTACCAGGATGGGCAAGGAAAAACTGACTGATAACTGCTTCTTTCTGAACATATGATTGAGTTTCAGGTGTCTGATAGAGATTACTTCAGCAAACTTGAGGAGAATTGCGCTCTTCTGTCTACTGATAATTTTAAAGAACTTCGCGATGTCCTCTGCCTGATGACCCGTATCTAGGAGATGCCTGGTAATGGTACTATTTTAGGCGTTTGTTTTCTTGAGATGTAGACTTTTCGGAACATGTTGAGAAGATCGGAGGTGTGCCTTTCTTTCTGTTCTCTCAGTGTAACTGCACCCACATATACACGTAAGTTTGTATACACAGGTGAATTTAACATAAGAAGGGTATCTGTCAAATTTTGACTGCATCAAGGAGAGTACTGTCTGTAAATGTACTTAATAATTTATTTAAGCTGTAAGCAACTGATGAGAAACCGACGACACAAGCGATGATGATACCATATTATTCTGTAAAAACTATTCTTCTTTTTTTGAAATTCATAAAGGGAATAAATGTATGAAGCTTCTGAAAAAAAACACCATTAATCGATATCTTACTTAAAAATCCTGAAAATGGAATCAATATTCGATAATTCTGTAGTGTATGTTTTTAAATGTTGCCCACTGTAAAGGCTATTCTTATCGAAAGTATATGTTGATGAACGTGGAAAATTCAAATTTCCTAGGGAAAGAGAAACTGCGACTCACAGTTCTGCTAATTTCAGTTATTATGAATTTGTGATCAAAAGTTTTTTGACTTAACATATCATTTCTTATTGATCTTAACTTCAATAAGTTAGCCTTCTTTCTGAAGAAGAGATCCAAATTGTGATTACGAGTGGCCCAAGTGGTCTAGTGGATAACGCTTTGGCGTTTGGAACTATGGGCACTGGGTTCGAGCCTCGGTGGGAACATCATCACTCACTGAGAAATGCAAGTACATCCAGCTGATGGGTCCCAATTAGGACGAAATGTGCATCCTGGATTCCACTGCTAGCCACCATCCACCAATTGTATACAAATCAAATCCCCAGACATCGTCGAAGCATCTGCACAAGAAGCCGACATGTCAACCTGAGACCGAGCACTTCGGTCCAATCAATCGACGGGAAAATCAAGAATTCAGTTCAATAATGTGTCATTACAGTTGTAGATTTTAGATAACAAATGACGTGATTTTCGAGATTTTGTTTGTTAGGATTTGATTTGTTTCAAGTTTGCCCACAGATTGACATCATTTAGAGAACCGTTGAAAACAAGCGGGGAGTACTGAACAACCAGTTGTTTCGTCCCAGTTTTGGAACCCATCGGTAGTATTCAACCACCGTCAGGGTTTAAACCCAGGACCTTCCAGTGACAAGGCTAGCTCGTAGACTATTCAACCACTGGCTGATGGTCGTACTAAAATCACGCACTGGTAGCAGTTGAAATTCATCGGTTGATGATTGAGTCAAATCCCAGTAGCTGAATTGTTTACAAGCTAACCATGTAATCAAAACATCCCATATTCAAATCTCTTGTCAATAAGTTCCAGACTAGGATGATACAGCTGGCTTTCGAGTACTCCCTGGCAGTTTCGACTGGTTCTCTAACTGATGTCAACCCATGGTCGATCTTGAAACTACGTGATGTAGAAAGCGTTATTCGGGTAGAAACCAAAATAAAATTAAATGAGTAAGTTGAGTGACGTAGCACAATTGACGTGGTTGAGAAGAATTCATATATAAAGTAATTTTAACCAGTGACGGTGATTTTGTGGATCAAATAATAATAATAATAATATGGTAAATGTTTTGAAAGTAGTTAATAACGATGATTACAATGATAACAAAATATTGACAATAAGATTTATGCAGGTGGCGATAAGAATAAAAAAGGTAGTAATATGTGTGTGTGTGTGTATGTAGACAATTCAATAAACAAATTAGGTAGCGGTCACCAAGTGAATAAAAATAGTGCCTTCAAAGTTATCTATCGCATTCCATCGAACTTTTCGAACTGAATTCGAATCCGTCTTTTACACATAGCCGAAGCTGATATGGGAATTAATTCGAGAGAACAATCCTAGTGTCTTTGCATACAACAAAAGAAGTTTGTTCTACCTTTGTCTTTCCGTTGGCTTAGCCTAGGAGAATTCTATTCAAAACCCTCTCACCCTTTCTTATTTTCCATCTCCTTCGTACTTTTATGATATTTATTTAAAGTCTGATTATCTGTCCACTTCACCTATCTTTAGTATAACGTAACTTTTAAGATTTGACCTAATTTATTTATTTATTGAATTGTCTACATATTACTACTTTTGTTATTCTTATCGCCACCTGCAAAAACCTTATTATTATCAGTATCTTGTTATCATTCTAATCATCGTTCATAACTACGTTCAAAACATTTACCACATTATTATTATTATTTGATCCACAAAATCACCGTCATTGGTTAAAATTTTATATATATATAAGTCTATGTAAATTAGGGTGAAGCCTGATGAAGGGGATCTAATTGAAAACAACATTATTGTTCGCTTATACGTCTTGTTCTAATATTATAAATGGGAATATTTAAAGATTTGAATAGAATTCAACTAAAATGAAAGACAGACAAGGTAACAAAAGCAGTAATAAAGGGTAGGGATTTAGCGATGGTAATAATAATCTACTTTAGTCCAAGACAAACAGTACTTACAACACAGAATGGAATTCTCAGCATTTGTCACAACACCTTTGCATCTGATTTACTCAAAATATGAATAAAATTAAAACAAAAGTAACCAGAGCAATTTGTCCACGCTTACGATATAAAGTCAAAAATATTCGAAGCACGAAGTGAGATCATTAAATAATAATAATAATAACAGTGAGTTTGTTTCAAACAGTATTGTCGATTCAGTTAGGAAAATTTTAGCATGTTATAGATTATTGGATCAAATGTTTTGTTGATATAGTAGCATGGTGAGGGGAAATACAAAATTAACAGTGATTCACACAGCTTAATTGATGTTCACAATTATGAAAAAATAAACAAGTAAAAACAAGCAATTGAGAGATTTACAAATATGAGAAGTACAATAACAATAAAGGTTGATGTTGTAAAGGTGGAGGAAATGGTCTATTTAGTAATGCAAAGAAGGTTAGTTAGTTAGTTAGTTTATGCCTAACACTATTTTCATTACATAAAGTACGTGCCGTCAAATATGGTATAGTGGAATTTTAATACTTGCACATACGTGCATAAAGTCTTCTGAAAAGACTTCTTGTTTTACGTGAGGAGACACAAGATTGGAGCTGATGGTGCTGCGGTGGATGCTCAGAGTCTGACAAAATTCCCTTAGCAAATTTGTTGCATGAAATCAAGTGTTTATCATCAATGACGATGTCAACGATATGGCCAAATGGGATACTACCACTCGCCCTACTGACCGACAGTCTTCACAGTTCTGTGAAGTATGGCATAGTCTTTTTTAAGCAATCCAGGAAAGAATAAGGGTGAACAGTAAAGAAGAATAGGTAATATGCAAGAGTTGATAAACTGTAAGAGGAGGGAAGCTTACAGAATCCTTCGAAGTGAAGACAGGAGTGAGGCAAGGTTGTCTACTATCGCCAATGATCTTCCTGATTGCGATTGATTGGATAATACGACAAACAACGGGCAATGAGGAAACAGGCATAAAATCGACTCACACACAAAAGAACTTGGAGGATCTGGACTTCGCTGATGATATATGTCTGATTTCCCACAAACTGGAAGATATGCAAGTGAAAAGCAACAAGTTGGCGATAGAAGAAACATCAAAGATAGGACATCAGGTGAACATAGATAAAACAGAGGTGATGAAGATTCCTGGCCAACAGCAACAGCAACAACAACAACAATCAGCCAGCATAAGTGGGAGGAACCTGAAACAAACAACCTCCTTCACCTAACTGGGAAGCATCGTTTCAACTACAGACGGATGAAACTGACGAGGATATCAAAGCCAGAATCGGAAAAGCAAGACAAGCTTTCATTACTCTTAAGTCTGTGTGGAGGTCAACAGCACCACTCAGCATTAAAAATAAGATCCGGATTTTCAACTCCAATGTGAAGTCAGTGTTACTTTACGGATCAGAGACTTATTATTATTATTGCTCCCTTGGGTTCCTAGTGGAACATAGGGCTTCAACTGCATGTCTCCATTTTCTTCTGTCTTCTGCTATACTTTTCGCCTGCATCCATGTTAATCCATATTCTTTCAGCTCCTCTTCACACGGTCTCCTCCATGTCACCCTTGGACGTCCCACACGCCGCTTCCCTTTCGGGTTCCACTCGAGGGCTTGGTGCGCGATGTCACTCAGCGGTCTCCTCAGCGAGTGTCCGATCCATCTCCACTTTCTCCTGCATATTTTTTGGGCGATTGGTTCTTGTTTTGTTTGTTTGTTCCCATAATTCCTTGTTGGTGATTCTTTCCGGCCATCTGATCTTCAGTATAGAGCCAGCGAATACAATTGTCGGTTGATAAAGGTCTGCAACAGGCTGTTGGAAATATTCTTTGTGACCAGCCCGCCAAGTTTCTGATCCGTATAGAAGTGACTGACTTGACGTTTGTATTGAAAATCCGACTGAATTTTGTTGTTGATGTTGGCTGAGTGACGAAGATTTCCAGATTGATTTCAGGCTGATGAATGTGTTTCTCGCCTTCCCGATTCTCGCTCGATTTGACATCCTCGTTCGCTCCTCTTGTAGTTGAGACAATGCTCCCTAGATAAATGAATGAAGTAACCTCTTTCAAATCCCTCTCGTTGATGGTGATTGACGTTGGATGTTGTTGCTGTTGTTGGTTGGTTATTTCCCTAACCTCTGTCTTGTCTATGTTTACCTGGAGTCCTGTCTTTGCTGCTTCTTCGACCAGTTTGTCGGTTTTCGCTTGTAAGTCTTCGATTGTGTGTGACATCAAACATAAGTCATCCACGCGCGAAATCCAGGTCTTCTAGGTTCTTCACGTCGGTCCAAGATATTCCTGTCTTCTCGTTTCCCACAGTCCGACGCATAATCCAGTCCACCACAATTAGGAATATCACTGGTGATAGTGTGGTGAGAGCAGGCTGCTAGCCGATTGGTTGGCACTAATCTACGTTAAGGTCTAGGTCACTAATATGGGCCGTGAGAAAATATGAACAAGGCTGAGTCAACAACCAATCACAGCAAAGTTAACATGGCAAGATATGATTCGCAGATAGAGAACTCTATTTGTCAAGGAATCCTGAAACAACCAATCAGAAGCCTGCGTTTGTCTACCTAACTTCTGATAAACAACCAATCAGATGACTGCGCTTGTCTATAATAATGTAGTTGAAATATGTATAAATACGTGTTGATTTTCATAATAAAACGATCTGTTGCCTGGCCCTTGTCTTCTGTTGTTACAATAGTAAGCACCCTTGTCTGACTCCTGTGTTTACTCCAAACGCCTCGCTGAGTTTTCCGTTGTGGATCACTTGGTAGGTGCCGTTGTCGTACAGCTGTTGAATAAGGTTGATGAATATTTGGGGTACGCCGTAGTACTCGAGTAATTTCCAAATTACTTCACGGTCAACGCTGTCGAAGGCCTTCTCAAAGTCTATAAAGTTGAGGTAGAGGTTTGATTGCCATTCCATGCTTTGTTCGATGATGATGCGTAGAGTTGCAATTTGGTCAGTACATGATTTGCCTTTCCTGAATCCAGCTTGTTCTGGTCGGAGTTCTGTCTCCAGTGCGTCCTTTAATCTCTCCAGGATGATGCGACTCAGGATTTTACTTGGCGTCGACAGGAGCATGATTCCTCGCCAGTTCTTGCAGGGTAGGGCGCAAGTCGCCCTTCTTTGGTAGTTTCACGAGGTAACCTTTCCTCCAGTCAGTAGGCACCTTTCCCTCCTTCCAGACCTTTTGCAATAATGGAGTCAGCATGTCTGCTGTAGTCTCTGGGTCTGCTTTCAGTGCTTCAGGGGGTATTCCATCTGGTCCGGCTGTTTTTCCAGCTTTCAGAAGTTTGATTGCATTCAAGACTTCAGCTCTCGTTGGAGGATTGGTGTCAACTTGCAGTTGTGTGTGCGCTGTTGTTGGTATTTCTGGACGGGTTGCAGGTGGTGGTCGGTCCAAGAGTCCTTTGAAGTGATCCGCCCATTGTTTAATCTGTTTTTCTTCCTTGGTAATGGGCTTCCCTTGGCTGTCTTTTATAGGTTTCGCTTGTGTTGATCTCTTCCCGGATAGAGATTTGGTTATCTGATATAGTGTCCTCAGGTCCCTTTTGCCTGCTGCCTTTTCAGCTTCAGTAGCTAGATTGTCGTAGAATCGTCTTTTGTCCTTCCTAGCACTTTTCTTCACTTCTTTGTCCAATGCTTTGTAAGTTGAGCTCATCGTCTCCTTCTCCTGTCCGTCCTTGCATTGAATCATTTTCTCTTTCACCATTCTCCTCTCTTCTATTAATTTCCAAGTGTCCGTTGAGAGCCATTCCTTGTCTTGTCTCTTCTTTCTTCCTAGAACCGTTGAACACGTTTCGTTGAGAATCGCCTTCAGAGACTTCCAATGTTCTTCCACGCATGATTCTTCAGTGCTGTCGCGTAGTGTTTCCTGCTTTGCTCTGACAGTTGCAGTGAAGGTGTCTTTTGTGGTTGTGTCCTTCAGTAATTGAGTGTTGAACTTGCATTGTGGCCTATCCCCAGCTATCCTCGAGGCTTTTAGTTTCACCTTGAAAGTCCCTTGTACTAGATAGTGGTCTGAACCCACATCTGCTCCTCTCCTTGACCTTGTGTCCAGTAGGCTCCGTCTCCACTTTCTTGAAATTGAGATGAAGTCTATTTGGTTTTTGGTGTTTCCATCTGGTGAAATCCATGTCGTCTTGTGTATATCCTTGTGTTTGAAAACACTGCCACCAATCACCAAATCATTGAAGGCGCAGAAGTCTGAGAAGAGTTCACCATTGTCGTTCATTTCACCGAGGGCCTCACGACCCATGGTGAGTTCTCTTCCTGTGTTGTCTCGTCCCAGCTTTGCATTCATGTCGACCATCAGGATTTTGATACCGCCATATCGTCATAAAGAGCATCTCAAACAAAACTTCAGACCTTCATTAACAGTTGTCTTCGCTCAATACTCAAGATCAGATGGCCGGCCAGAAAAGATCAGCAACAGGGATCTCTGGCAATGAGCGAACCAACCCAACAGGAACCGACTGCGCAACGAATAAGCAGGAAGAAATGAGGGTGGACTGGCCATACTGTGAGTACGCAAACCATCAAGTGACAACACTAGACAAGCCATCGCTCGAGTGGAACCCGAAAGGGTGGCGGTAAGTTGGTCGTCAGCGCGAGGGTGGGGTGAATTGGAGGGGGTCATGTGAAGAGGAGATGAAAGCATGTGGGGAGACTTGGAGCCGGGTGGAAATGTTGGCAGAAAACCGAACTCAATGGAGACGCGCGGCCGAACTTCTATGATCCTCTGGGAATTAAATGATATAAGAATAATAATAATAAGAGGAGGGGTTGGGTAATACCTGACGGGAGGGGGAGAAAATAATACAACCAAGAAACAATAAACAAAAATTACGTATTCAGTGTTAAGAAAGATCAGGTCCATTGTAGATTTTATAACTGCACGAATTTTTCTTGTGCACAGAGTTGAGGATTTAACATGTGAATTGCCACTGCTTCTACGGTTTGAAGAAATTTGTTCCGTTAATCTTTGAACATAATTTTATTAGAATATTTTTTTTAATTCGGGAAGATGAAACTTTAGTGAAGAAAACTTTGATAATCGGAACTAATCAACAATCCGTTACATTTTTGTGAAATATTCTAGGGAGAATGTAGAACGTCAACAACCATATGAAGCAGACTGGATTAACATATGCAGAGCACAACGTCCTACAACACCTCGACCAGCACCACCGCCACTAACACCACCACAACCTATAACAACTAGATTGATGACTACAACAACTGAAAAACTGACAATTGGTCCTTATGGGAGATATCGTTGCAATTGTGAATGTGATTGATCAAGAAAAAATACATTTTAGAAAAATATGAAATTAGAATTTCGTTTTTAAATTCACACATTATTTGCACTTCAATATTTGTGTCAATAAATTCTTGTAATTATTTCTATTATTATTATACTCAGTGTATAGTGATGAATTTGTAAGAGTAGTACTGACTTAAGGTGAACCTCAGTAATGAACACTCTTAGAAAAACTTCACCGTTTTATGCCCTTAGCTGAACTCTAACTAACGTGTAAGCATCGACGAACGAAATCAGAGTAAAAAGGCTTGATATGATAAGTGTGTCTGGACATAGTTAAGTTTTATACAAATGAGATACGAAACTTGATAAATAAGGAGTTTATACAACTTATCTGGTAGCTTGATTAGCGGTAGGCTCGGGGAATGCACTGAATCAAAGTACAACAGGAGAGCGGACCAGATGTGTCCAGCAGGGTTAACACTCAAAAGATGGGTGAGAGAGTTTAAACAAAAGTTCAAGGATTCAATGTACACTACAAACTGTGCACTAGTAGGATGCTTGTTGTTTTATTATCTCCGTTTTTTATCTTTTTTTTTATCTTCGCTGGTGATCACTTGTACTTTTGTGGACTAATGACGATATTAGAGGATTTCGCAGTATGAAATCAATGAGTTTATAATTTAAGCAAATCAGGGAAGTATATTTATATAGTACACAGTGAAAGTTTTATAAAACAACTGAAGGATATGGAATGGCAAAAATGCTTTTCTACCACAAAGATATAAAAATTTTGAAATTATTGTACCCAAATTGTTGGTTTTTACGTACGTTATACACTAATGCCCCACCATATCGATGTGATTTAAACACCGAGCGGCTGCTTCACTTGTTTTGGGGCCGAATTCATCGGTGATGTACTAGATTTGACTCAACTAAGACAGATAAATCGCTTCAAAACCACTGAAATTCCGACCAGCTACTTGAGTGAACTGGTAATAAGGCCGAAAACGGGAGAAACAACCATCCCATAATTAGATTACCTCGGTATGAGTAGTATACAACAACTCACCACAACCAATCAGTAGTATATAACGTCATGAGTCTATATATGTTTTTTGATTACAGCTTATTGTATCAAGCAGATGACAGTCTGTGATTCGAATAGTTTCGGTTTTTTCAAGGAGACTGTGTGGAAATTTCTCTATTCAAACTTTGTAAATTGTAATCATGAATCTGATTTGCGCAAACTTGCCCGACAGTTACAATAGTGATATCGAACATTGAATCGTTTCCAATAAAAGAGGAGATTTATCTTTGAAAATGTGAAAAGGAGAGTGACCATTAAAGAAAATGGAAGCGAACTGACGTTGTATATAAAAACACGCGTAAATCACTTATCGGATGTAGAGTTAAAGACAACTGATTTGAAACCATGTCGGTGTAATTTAGAGCCATATAGAAGCACACACTTCCTCATATTCCCCCTTAACGCTCACTTATACAAGGTTAACTGATACGAGGTCGTCAATACTACAGATGCGAGTAAAGGCATTGTTGTGTAGAGCGCTAAAAACAGCATGTGTGATGCAAAGAAAGAGGGGTGCAAGACTCACAGTCGATGTACACATTTTACAATGGGATAAATTTCCTATTCAAAAGAGGGATGCATTTGATCAACGAAGATAGGGTGTTTTCACGCATTTTCATCGGCATTCTGATTTACGTCTATCAGTCGTAATTTATTGCAATCGTAGTATTAGTATTTCGAGATGACCGAATTACAAGAATCCAACAAAAGCGCAGAGGGGGCGGAATTCAGGAATTTGTATTCAGCAGAATTATATTTCAATTCATATATGAAATATTAACAATCAACAGTAAGTATTTAAACAATACAGAGATAGAAATAGTCAATCACCTCATCCGCCACACGTCGAATGTCTCCTTGCGTATTTATAATGATATCACGGTTTGATTGCCAGTCTCTGCGATCTTCTAACTGATTCTGTGATATCATTTCCATCAGTATCATCTGGACTTATTTCTGAATTATCTACAAAATTAGGATTAGTAGCGGAGTCATTATAATCATAATCGGAACGACCTACCTCATTTATTCTCACTTGATCCAAGTGTCTGTTATGAACTGAGTGATCTTCAATGTCTAATATCTCCACCATTCGATTTCCCATTCCTTGTAGTATGATACCAATAGAAGGTCTGTAATCATTCCCTCTGTAATAATGTACATCAGAAGTCGTGGACATGAGATGCTTTCTGAGAATTCGAGATTTGAATAGTTTTGCAGGACTTTCATGAGTACTTGTATGCTCCGCATCGCGATATTGAAGTAGGAAGTTATCCACACATCTCTCTAGCTCATCAAGATTTTGAGGACTCATTGATGCTATAGCACTCTTTAATGTTCGTACAAAATTTTCTGCCAACCCGTTTGACTGAGGATGACGTGGTGCTGTGTACAAATGACGACAACATATATGTTTGAGCCAATCATTGAAGTTCTTCTCCGTAAAATGAGTACCATTGTCAGTAACTAAGACATCTGGAATTCCTTCTCGACTAAAAATCTTTCTCAACGCTCTGTGAGTGAATTCCGCATTAGGACTATCTGTAATGATGACTTCTGGCCATCTAGAATAAGAATCCACAATAATGTAGTAATTTATTGTAATCGTAATATTAGTATTTCGAGATGACCGAATTACAAGAATCCAAACAAAACACAGAGAGGCCGGAATTCAGGAATTTGTATTTAGCGGAATTATTCTGCAATTCATATAAGAAATATTTGCAATCAACAGTAAGTATTTAAACAATACAGAGATAGAAATAGTCAATCACCACATCCGTCACACGTCGAATGTCTCCTTGCGTATTTATAATGATATCACGGTTTGATTGCCAGTCTCTGCGATCTTCTAACTGATTCTGTGATATCATTTCCATCAGTATCATCTGGACTTATTTCTGAATTATCTACAAAATTAGGATTAGTAGCGGAGTCATTATAATCATAATCGGAACGACCTACCTCATTTATTCTCACTTGATCCAAGTGTCTGTTATGAACTGAGTGATCTTCAATGTCTAATATCTCCACCATTCGATTTCCCATTCCTTGTAGTATGATACCAATAGAAGGTCTGTAATCATTCCCTCTGTAATAATGTACATCAGAAGTCGTGGACATGAGATGCTTTCTGAGAATTCGAGATTTGAATAGTTTTGCAGGACTTTCATGAGTACTTGTATGCTCCGCATCGCGATATTGAAGTAGGAAGTTATCCACACATCTCTCTAGCTCATCAAGATTTTGAGGACTCATTGATGCTATAGCACTCTTTAATGTTCGTACAAAATTTTCTGCCAACCCGTTTGACTGAGGATGACGTGGTGCTGTGTACAAATGACGACAACATATATGTTTGAGCCAATCATTGAAGTTCTTCTCCGTAAAATGAGTACCATTGTCAGTAACTAAGACATCTGGAATTCCTTCTCGACTAAAAATCTTTCTCAACGCTCTGTGAGTGAATTCCGCATTAGGACTATCTGTAATGATGACTTCTGGCCATCTAGAATAAGAATCCACAATAATGTAGTAATTTATTGTAATCGTAATATTAGTATTTCGAGATGACCGAATTACAAGAATCCAAACAAAACACAGAGAGGCCGGAATTCAGGAATTTGTATTTAGCGGAATTATTCTGCAATTCATATAAGAAATATTTGCAATCAACAGTAAGTATTTAAACAATACAGAGATAGAAATAGTCAATCACCACATCCGTCACACGTCGAATGTCTCCTTGCGTATTTATAATGATATCACGGTTTGATTGCCAGTCTCTGCGATCTTCTAACTGATTCTGTGATATCATTTCCATCAGTATCATCTGGACTTATTTCTGAATTATCTACAAAATTAGGATTAGTAGCGGAGTCATTATAATCATAATCGGAACGACCTACCTCATTTATTCTCACTTGATCCAAGTGTCTGTTATGAACTGAGTGATCTTCAATGTCTAATATCTCCACCATTCGATTTCCCATTCCTTGTAGTATGATACCAATAGAAGGTCTGTAATCATTCCCTCTGTAATAATGTACATCAGAAGTCGTGGACATGAGATGCTTTCTGAGAATTCGAGATTTGAATAGTTTTGCAGGACTTTCATGAGTACTTGTATGCTCCGCATCGCGATATTGAAGTAGGAAGTTATCCACACATCTCTCTAGCTCATCAAGATTTTGAGGACTCATTGATGCTATAGCACTCTTTAATGTTCGTACAAAATTTTCTGCCAACCCGTTTGACTGAGGATGACGTGGTGTTGTGTACAAATGACGACAACATATATGTTTGAGCCAATCATTGAAGTTCTTCTCCGTAAAATGAGTACCATTGTCAGTAACTAAGACATCTGGAATTCCTTCTCGACTAAAAATCTTTCTCAACGCTCTGTGAGTGAATTCCGCATTAGGACTATCTGTAATGATGACTTCTGGCCATCTAGAATAAGAATCCACAATAATGTAGTAATTTATTGTAATCGTAATATTAGTATTTCGAGATGACCGAATTACAAGAATCCAAACAAAACACAGAGAGGCCGGAATTCAGGAATTTGTATTTAGCGGAATTATTCTGCAATTCATATAAGAAATATTTGCAATCAACAGTAAGTATTTAAACAATACAGAGATAGAAATAGTCAATCACCACATCCGTCACACGTCGAATGTCTCCTTGCGTATTTATAATGATATCACGGTTTGATTGCCAGTCTCTGCGATCTTCTAACTGATTCTGTGATATCATTTCCATCAGTATCATCTAGACTTATTTCTGAATTATCTACAAAATTAGGATTAGTAGCGGAGTCATTATAATCATAATCGGAACGACCTACCTCATTTATTCTCACTTGATCCAAGTGTCTGTTATGAACTGAGTGATCTTCAATGTCTAATATCTCCACCATTCGATTTCCCATTCCTTGTAGT